AACCTGAGAATTTCAAAATCTGAGATGTTTCTAACTCCTCGTAACAGCTTGAGGAATTAAATTCCCCACTTCCTTCTCTATACATTAATTGCTCCCTCTTCATTCCCGTAACTCCCTCCTATCTTCCTGAATCTCCCTTCCAATCAACCTGCTTTGATTGGGGGCAATTAAGTGCAGTTATTTCCTTTGGACAAATTTCCAAAAGCTGCTGCTGCTGGCCGAAAGCTTCCCAGGCCATCACGTGGGAATTCCTCTACTAGAAGCTCCCGTGAATTCACTTCCATAATTCTTGTTCCTACTAACCCTTTCCTCCCAACATTGATAGCTAAATTTTCTTCTCAGATTTCTGTTTGGAATCTGAAACAGTTTTCAGATTCTACAAGAGGAGTTTGGTGTTTGTTCTCCCTCCTCTTTCAAGCAAGAAATCTGATTTCTCTCAGATTTTGGGAGAGGTGATCCTCTCTTTTGCAACGCCTCCTTCCCGTTCTACATCACTATGATGCACCGACACTTCTCCTCAAAGAGGCGTGCAGTGTCCGACACCTTGTCCAACACGACACTCCTCCAACACGTGTCAGACACTCCGAAAACATGTCCGATTAAAAAATATTAAATACAAATTGGACACGCGTGTCCGACACGCGTATCATAAATATTTTATGAATTTTTTTAAATATAATTTCTTGTATTTTGCGGGATTTAAACTAAGTTTCTTATTTCCTATTCACAACATCAAATCAACATCCGCACTTAATAACCACTCATCGAATATTCTCATTTTCATTTCTTTTTGGCAGTGAATGTATTTTCATCTCCTCTCTCGGTGATTGATAAATGGCATCGACGCTTGTCTCTTGATGCCTGAAATATAAATTATTGTTTTTTGAATCTTACAAAAAAAAAAATCTAATGTACATGCTCGGTACCGCTCAGTATATGCTTGGTCTTGCTAGGTACAAGCTCGGTACCGCTCGATATCTTTCCATACAAATAACTTACGAACTTTAAAAACAAGTAGAACTTCAAAATTACTCTTACCCTGGTAGGTAAAACCTCGCCAGGGGGCAGCTAAATAATTTTTCGCTTATATTTTTGTGATTGTACTAGATATTTTGTACTAAACATCTTTATGTTATAAGCTAAACAAGTTATCATAAAATTGATTTATTATTGCTTGTCATTTTTAATATAATGTCACCTTAATTTCTATATATTATATTAAAAAAATATTATGCCGTGTCCACGCCGCACCCGTGTCCTATATTTTTAGAAAATGCCGTGTCCCGTGTCCGTGTCAGTGCATCATAGATATATATATATTTAAAGATAAGTTACACTGCCATCTTGCAAATCTTTAGTTAAAACAAAAAGTTTAGTAATCAACGCATTGTGACTTGGCATTCTCCAATTGCTGCTCTCACAATACAACAATAATATCAAGCCTTTATCGCACTACGTGGGGTCGGCTACATGAATTATTTTTCTGCATTATTTTCTGTTAAGAGTCAAATTTTTATTTAAATTTAATTAAAAATGTCATTTCTAATATTTTCTAACCAAGTCTTTTTAGGTCTATCTCCACATTTCTTAAAATAGGTTAAATCTACTACACCTACTCTCCTAATCTGGTCATCGGAAGGCTGTCGTTTTATGTAAAGAAATCATCTAAGGCGACTCTGTCTAATCTTATCTGCCATTTATGCTACTCCAACCTTTTCATATATATATATATATATTCACAATCTGTCTCTAAGAGTGAAGCAACTCATCCACCTGAGCATCCTTATCTTTGCAACACTTAATTTTATGCTCATCTTTTAATGGCCAACATTCTGTGTCGCATTGCAGGTATGACCACCATCTTATAGAATTTTCCCTTAAGTTTGAGTGATACTTTTCTATCACACAACATGCTCGATGCATTCCTCCACTTCAACCATTGAAATTGAATTCTACTAATAATATCTCAGTCTATTTCTCCATCACTTTGAACAATAGACTCGAGATATCTAAAACATATACTCCTATTAATGATTTGATCGCCCAAAGTCAGAGTCCCCCCATTAGATCTATTACTACTAAAATTACACTCCATGTATTCGGTTTTAGATCTACTCAAATGAAAACTTTTAGACTCTAAAGTTGACCTCTGTAGTTCAAGTTTATCTGCACAATTCCCTTTCTAGTCTTATCAACAAGAAAAATATCATCAACAAATAGCATATATCATGGTACATCCTCTTGCAAATGTCTAGTAAGAACATCCATCACTAGAGCAAAAAGATATGAGCTTAAAGCTGATCCTTGATGTAATCCAACCGAAATAGGAAAATACTTGGTCAAGGATTATATACTTAATATTAACTTTATATAGAAAGATGGTAAATAAATATATTCTATATATTTATATACTCTGTATAGGTCAGTTTATATACTTATTATTAACTGTATATAGAAAGTGAGCCCCTTATTTTAAATGAAGCTCTCTATTTTGAAATGGTTTTCTTCATAGTTAATGTCTTTTCTTTTTCTTTATTTAAAAATTGTATAGGGATGAGGACATGGGGTTTTGATGGAAGATTATTAAATTTAGTACTTTCAAAGTGGGAAAAGAAATTTTGAGGAGAAGCTTTATCTTAAATTAGATTCTTTTTAGAGATCTTTTTTAAAGAATGAAATCAAAGAACTTTATTTTGGAATGAATCTCTCTTTTTTATTTTAATGTATAAAATCTATTTATGTTTATATATTAAGAGAAATAAAAAGGGGATATTTCTAATGTATGGTGAATCGCTGCATTTTAAAGGTTGGCATAGACTAATACATCTATTTGAATTGCAATGTATTTAATGCTTGCGGAATGAGAAACATTACTTTTCTTTGAAGCAATGATTCTCCATCTCACATTCTTAATCCAATTACCCTCAAGCTTATTTGACAATTCTTTTTTGTGATATATTTGTTGCAAATTAAAAAAAAATCATGGGGTGTTGGTTGAAATGAACTTGAAAAGTTTTTTCTTTCATTTGTTCATTTATGGATTGTGTGGATTTTCTACTAGTTGCCAGAAAAAACAAAAGGATTATAACGTTCTCACGCTTTTTCCATCAAGTGAAATTTTAAGCCTTTAGATTAGCTTTGAACTAGATTGAAATACAACTCTTAATTGGTTTCAAACATACTATGTATTTGAGTCATCTTAAAGCCAATCTACAAGTTAAAATACTCATCTTGATTGAACTGGCGTGAGGACGTCATAACCCAAAATTTTCTCTAATTTTCATCTTTTTTAGCTCCGTGCTTAGGGAATGATGATCTTATTCTGCTTAAACTCATGCTAAGCAGGTGATATTTCCTCTATTTGTGAAACCCCCTCAATCCCACCCCCTCCCCTCCCCGCACATAATATGTATTTCAGTCATCTCAAAGCCAATCCACAAGTTAATATACTCATCCTGACTGAATTGGCCTGAGGACATCCTTACCCAAAACTTTTCCCTGATTTTCATCTTTTTCAGTCCCATGCTTATGGAATGATGATCTTATTCTGCTTAAACTCCTGCTAAGTAGGTGATATTTCCTCTATTCGTCAAACCCCCTCAACGCTACCCCTTCCAGCACATCGCATTTATTCCAGTCATCTCAAAGCCTATCCACAAGTTAAAATACTTATTCTAATTAATTGGCGTGAGGACGTCCTAACCCAAAAAATTTCCCTGGTTTTCATCTTTTAAGTCCCATGTTTGCAGTGTGTTGATCATATTCTGCTTAAACTCAGGTGATGTGTCCTCTATTCGTTAACCCCCACCCAACCCCCCGCCCCACCTGCTTTATAGCACTTCCCAGACCATCTTATTTCACCTTTTAAGAAGTCAAATGAATGTGAACATCCTATACTTTTTGTGTTCTTTAGCTGGAAATAATAAGCATCCATTTGAGCTTACTCAATGATGCCATCTCCATGCTTGCAGTGTGAATGATCCTGTTGCCCTTAAACTTCTGGGAAAGGCTGGCGAGATGCCCTCTCTATCTCCTCCTGATGATGAAAGCATAAAAACACTTTATGTTGGCGGTCTTGATGCCCGAATCACTGAGCAGGATCTTAGGGATCACTTCTATGCCCATGGAGAGATTGAGTCCATTAGGATGGTTTCCCAGCGTGCATGTGCCTTTGTGTCCTACACCAACCGAGAAGGAGCTGAGAAGGCCGCTGAGGAACTCTCTAACAAGCTTGTAATAAAGGGCCTTCGCCTAAAACTAATGTGGGGGAAACCCCAAGTACAAAAAACAGAGTTGGAGAATGCAGATGATGAAGCAGCTCACCAAAGTCTTGTGGCACATGGTGGCTTACTCCCAAGGGCAGTTATATCACAGCAGCAGAGCAGTCTGCAGCCTCACCCTCCAGGAACCCATGAGCATAATAACCAGCAAATGCCCATGCATTACTTCAACATCCCCCCTCCATTGCCATCAGAGAGGACCTTCTACCCATCCATGGATCCACAGAGGATGGGAGCGGCTGTGCCCGTGCCCTCTTCTCAGGAACCGAGCGATGGCAAGGCTGGATTAGATAGGCAGACCAGAGGCGCAGAAGGTTCTTCCCAGATATATCCAGGGCCTCCCCCACAGATGCAAGGCCAGTACCCACCTTATTATCCACCCTATGCTTATATGGCACCTCCCCCGCCTCATTACCAGCATCAACAATACCATCCATATCAGCAGATGATGTTGCCTCCACGGACGCCACAGCCAGTGCCACAACAGCCACAACCTTCTGCCAGTCTTCTGCACCAGAATGCTGGTGCTGCTGCATCTTCATCCCAGAATTGATGCTTCACTTGCTTTAAACTATATTGTAAGTGTCCTTGTTTTTTTGTGGTGATTTAGCAATAATTGGAATAATATCTTCAAGAAGATTTCTTTTCTAGCCTAGAAAGCTTTTTCTACTGAAAATTCTTCTGATTTGGTCCTTTGGAATTCATTATACTGTTTTATAACCAAGAAGAGCACTCAGGCTCATGATCATGGCGCCTTCGAAGAAGCAATCTGTTGCCATGGACTAGCTAGGATCAGTGTGAACTGTGAAGTAATGGAGATAACCATGGCCACCCACTACTGTCTTTTACATCGCCTGCTGCAGCTCAGTTTGTCTTTTTCTGCTTCATATACTTTACAGTTGAAGCTTTTATTCTTTTATATTTCTTTTGTTGGTCGTTGTGATATGCTGATGTATGTTTAATATTCTGCATTTTCTTAAATTTAATAATTTTCTTCAAACATATGGATGTTGACCATATATAATTATTTCAACAAAAAAATTTGTTGTCTATAACTTATAGTTTAAAGTACTATTGACATTTGGCCACATTTTTTTAGAGTAGGCCATAGCCTATATTGACTTAATGCTTTAAGATCCATCCTGATTCTCTTTTTGTCTATCCAGTCTCTCTTCTCATCACCTTAGGAAGGGTGTCCAAAGTAGCTTTAATTTGTTCAACTGCTAATAGCTTGTGATATAAATTTATTTTATTTTCATCAAACATTTAAACAAATTGTGATAAAGAGAGCTTATTACTTATTAGTCACACTTATGACCTTTGATTCATAGTTTTTGAATAAATATGTGGATGCATCGGGACTAATCATTCTGAATCAAAGTTTTTAGAAATTTGAGTAGACCAGCGGCAGTACTGAAGACATGCTTCTAATTAAATTTCACGTCCAAATCCTTTTCACTGTTAAAAATCAAACAGATAACAATCAGTCTAAGGCTATCTTTGTTACAGTTGTGAGTTGTGCTGATAATGTTTAATATAGAATAAAATAATAGTTCTCTTATATAAAAATGCGAGTTGCTTCATGAATTAGCTCATAACTCCATTGAATAAAGCAAAGATGAACTTAAAAATGATATTTTTTTTCAAAAAATTTTAAATGAAAAATATGAACTCACTTTTGACACAGAAGGAAAAAAAAACTTAAGATAATACTCAAGAAATACTTAAAATCCATTCAGGAGTAAAAACAGGTTGTCATTTGAAATCTTTATTCAGCTTTTCCACTGCATTGCTTCTATGGAAATCAGTCTAGAAGTGATGAAGTAAATATCATTTGCCCTGGAGTCAAAATTGCCTTAGGATCATACTTCTTCTTCAGCTTCACAAGTCTCTCCCATTTTGATCCAAAATACCTCTTCCACTCCTCTGTAGTTTTGTAGCATGGCGTGTACTCCTTTGTCCCATTGCCATTCTCATTACAGAAGCTCCTGATCTCCTTAATGCGACCTAAAACTCGCTCCACATCATTGGCATCAGCGGTGATCAGAAGTCCGATTTTGTAAATGATTTCTTCTTCCTCAGGAAACATAAGAGACCATCTCTCATCCCACCTACAGCAGTATAATTACAAGTTGCAATTGGTCATAGCATTCAGAAAATTAGTCATGTATGATACATTTAAAGCAAAAATTTAAAGCTTTTTTATAGTTAAGTTATACTTGTTTCTATTCATGGGATAAACAAGATAGACACCCAAGGGCTTCTCCTCTTGGAAAATGCCCTTAAAGAGCTTCTCATTGAAAATGTTTATCTTTGATTTGGGTACGATCAGGTTTAGCCATGGATGATGAAGGTTCCACAGGTTATGACGACGGAGCTTCTGCTCCTCCCTGCGAACCCGGTCTATGAATGTGGTGTAAGGGAGGTCTCTGGTAAACTTGACCTGTAAGCCATTGATCACGCCACTGATAATTGTTTCAATCTCCTGTTATCATTTAAGAAGTTAGTAGATGATGATATGATCCATGCCATGTAAGGTGCTCCGGCAGTAAGGAAATTTTTACTTGCTGTAAAGTTTAAAGTGTCATTAATCTCTCCTTCATGCGTGTTAAAAGGGTAAGATATTTTGATATTAGTATGCGTATGAAGTTCAGATATTTATTTGACATAAAATGAATTCAAACATGGCTGAAAAGTGGGTCTTCTTTTAGAACTCATGGTTGATTCTATTTTCGGAACTGAATTTATGAGTTCTCTTGACAAAAAGTGGATAAAAAGGTGGCTCTCTAGATTTATACTCATTCATACAATTTTGAATTATAGTCATAATTTTTATTAGTCTTGTTGCTTGTGGAAGATTAAGCTAATAGAGTAAGGATCAATCTCAATGCATTATTATTATTATTATTTGCTTCACACGCACAATCAATCCAATAGAGAAGAAAACGTGATATAAAATTTTTTACATGAAAAAACTCTTGGAAGAGAAAATCATGGGACCTAGCCTTGAATTTCATCCTGTATTTTTATAAAAATTATACAAAAATGGTTCACCTCCAAAGAACTGGAGTAACTTCAGTACATGACAAGCCTTGGGAAATTAAAACAATGCAGAGGTGAGAGGATCATTTTAGGTCCTCACACGGTACTATTGTGAAACAGGTTATATAGATAATTATGATGCAGGTCTTGCTAGACAAGGTTAATGTGCAAGCAAGGTTGATGTGCAGTTTAGATGTGGTGAAGATTATGCTATGGTTTATGACGTAGGTCTTGGACCAGATGACTACATCTAGATCAATATTCACAAAATTTTAGTCGTCTCAATTGTTAGACAATTATTAGTTTAAAATGTATGAATTTTTAGATAATATGAAACTATGCAATTTGAAAGATAAAGCTTAATATGGAAATGCTCAGGGTAATATTTATTTTAAGTTGGGTAGACTATAATACTCACCAGTATAGAGATCTTGTCTGCTTGTGTTTACATGTGTATATTAATTTTTGATGTATTGTGCTTCATACGTATGCATGATTAATTAATATGATGCTCTTATATGCATGACACATTATAATTTCTTCAAATGTAGGTGATTGTATATATAATCTCTAATCCTATGAATGATTAGGTTTCTTCTGTGTTATATGATTTATTGAACTATGATATGATATAATTGATACATCATGTATGGAGTCATGTGGGTATCAATTTACAATTAAATTTAATTAAATTATTTCAATATTTTACAAATATTTTTTATAATTTTATAGGCATTGTATTATGTCAAGTATTGATTACTTGTGCTACTAAACACTTGGTTGAAACTATTAGTATTTATGATAATGTTACTCACTTATAAACCCTCTCTCACCTCATTTCCTTCATTTTTCATCACCATGGTAGCTATAAATGTTGAAGAGATTGATAGGGAGGAGAGAAATAGGAGAGTTAAAGAGAGAATTAGTGCTTTTAAGACATTTGATTGATTTAGGAGTTGAGGTAACTAGGAAAATTATTCCTATTGAGGTAGGGTGTTTCCTAATTTATTTTTCAATGTTTTCATCTCTTGCATGATATCGTGTAGGGAATGCAGAATTTAGGCTTCGTTTGGGATAGCTTTTTTGATACTTTCTAACATGACTTTCTAGTACAAAAATTTTTAATTCACGAAATTTTTATACTTAAAAGTGCTTTTATAAAGCATCAAAAAAGCTGTCCCAAATGAAGCCTTAATCTATATTTTGAGATTTAAATGGACTTTCTTCAAACAATGTTATGATATATGATTTCCTTTATTTTTCTATGTTATTGCATGATTATATCTAGTGATAGTGAGGGATCTATGTTTGCATGCGTTTTCTACACAAATTTACCATGTAATCTAATGAGAATATTAATATTTTGAGGATTATTGATCATAATATTTGATTTCTCTTGGGATATGCAAGCTACCTAACATCTACTATTTGTGTCATCTTGTAATCACGGGGCCTTTGACATGCGCATGATCTTATTTTTCTTGTAATGTTTAATATGTTTGTTGACACTTGTTATATAAGTATTGGAACAATGCTACATGTTTCCCTATATGTTCTATCAAGATTCTTAAAGTTCCTATGTTCTGATTATTATTTATATATTCCTGTGCACTTTTTATAAGTGTACAGAATATGCTATTTGATTCTCTTGATGTGATTAGAACACTGGATGCTGTAGAAGTATATGAATTTTCAGGACTACTATGTTTTTATAAGTCCTTTCGTACCTGGTCGACAGTGGATGCAGAGCTTTCATTGTAATGAAATGCTGCTTCAATGAGGTAGATCCCGGCATTCTGGTCAGCTAAGGCGCCGGCGATCTCTCGATCCTCTACAGACAGAAATGGAGAAATAAAGTTTTCTACATGACTGCTGTTTGAGAAGAAGAAGCCTTCGATGTAGTCGAATCCTTTCTTGCTCTCCTTCATCCCATCCAAGGAAATCAGGTACTCCTCAGAACTGGCAAATTTACTGAAATCACTGTAGGCCAGTGCGACCCATCTCACCTAAAAATGAATAAGCCGCTTTAATCATAATTTTTCTTCTTCTTCTTTCAAATGCATTAACTCTAACAATCTCCATTAATGCATTGGCTTGAAAACTGCAATAAGCTTTCAAAAGCAGCAAAACTTCTCTTGAAAATGGGTAAATTGCTAAAATATAAGTTTACAGTGGTCAATATGCATGGTCTTGAGCATAATATTATATATAATTTAGATTTTCAGCTTGATTTTATATGATTTCATTATCAATTATGCCAATAATACATCATAATACTCGAGTATTTTTCTGGCAATAGAGTAAGCAAAAATATATAATTTCTCAAGATAGACCCTACAAACCCATCCATCACCTTTTGATGTGGAAACGCGTTGTTGCACTTGCTCCACAGGCTCATCTTATCACCTATACTTAGTCCCCACTACACTCATAATTAACTATAATACAAAAACAAATGATATATTTTCATTTATGTTTTACTGTTATTAGAAACTAATACGAGGAATAGGTTTATACATATAGCAGATTGGAATTGGAGGGACATACAGATTAATAGAAAGAAAATATAAGTTACTCTATTTCCTGTTACTTCTTCTACCATATTCTTCCTATTCCATTCCTTCCACAATAGTTTGGTATCAGAGCCAAGTGGGAGTACATGGAGGAAAACAATCGACATCATGCGCATCACGACGATTAGAGCGGAGACACATTGTGGACGATTGACACCTGGAGGAGCTTAGAGCAGATTTTTGCCGATTCTTCACAAAGATGCATATGGAGATGCAGAGCCTTAGAACCGGCGACATCTCTCCCCCTGTTGCTCCGACAATCACATCGGAATGCAGTGCCGAACCAATTCGAGGACGGATTGATCATCCTCCCAGGACGATCCCAACAGATTTCACCGATTATGATGTCGAAATTAACTTTCACCCATAGGGAATTGCCTCCAATCCAATGGAGGAAGAGCACCCCCATTACTATCATATGCAACATCGCTGAGGTGGAGCACCGCGAAGACCACAGAGAGACTTTAAGCTACAAATAGATATCCCCTTCTTTGAAGGAAAGCTGCACATTGAGGAATATCTTGATTGGGAAGGTGCATTCGAATCATTCTTTGATTATATGTACATTCCTGAGGACAAACATGCTAAAAATGTCACATGTTGGCTTCGAGGCAGCGCAAATGCATGGTGGCAACAACTTCTTCATTCCCGACAGAGATAAGGAAAGGGGAGAATCAGAAATTGGGGGCGAATGAAGCTGTTACTGAGGGCTCAATTCCTCAATTCATGCCAACAGACTATGAACAATTGTTATACATGAAGTATCAACATTGTCTCCAAGGAAATAGAAGTGTGAATGACTAAACAGAGGAAGTTACAACCTCCACGAATCCAATAACCAACTGATAGCACACTACATTGGGGGATTGAGAGAAGCTATCCAAGACAGATTGGAATTGAATCCAGTCTGGTCGCTATCACAAGCTGTGAATTTCGCTTTGAAGGGTGAACTTCAGTTGAATCTATTGCCTTGCAGAATGGGAACCCTGCGGATACATTCTGAGTCGACTACTCTTGAAATCATATCTCACCCACGCACTGAAACTAGACAGGGTAAAAAAATCTGCTCTACCAACATGGACTATACCCCCAGCAATTGAAGTGAGAACGTCCAACAAGCTTAAGGCACCAGCTATAGACAATCCATATGCCCGACCAAACAATTTGAAGTGTTTCATATTTTTGAACCGGGTCACAAGTCCAATGAGTGTCCAAATCGATAACAAGTACAATTGCTTGAAGGGGAAATAGAGACGAATCACACGGTGGCTGATGGAGAACCTGATGAAGACTTCAAAGAAGTTGTAGGCGACGAAGGAGAGCCAGTCGTATGTGTTCTAAAAAAAAATATTACTAGCACCGAGAAATAACCTCAATTCACAAAGAAATGCTATCTTTAGAACTAAGTGCACCATTAGTGGTAAAGTTTGTGACGTCCTGATTGATGATGGTTGCACTGAAAATATTATCTCGTGCAATAGTTCAAGCCCTACACCTCAAGACCACAAAAAATCCAAATCCCTACAAAAGTAGCTAGGTTAAAAAGGGCATGGATATACTTGTCACAGACATGTGTCGGGTAAGCTTCTCCATTGGAAAACACTATACCTGTGAAATTATTTGTGACATTTTGGACATGGATGTCTGCCATTTAATCCTGGGGCGATCGTGGCAATATGGCAACGGTGTTACCTATGATGGGCTGAATAATAGTTACTCATTGGAATGGAAGGGACGAAAACTTTGACTACTACCCAGCACACCAACCAATGCAACTAACCTTAGCTCCAATAAACCATCCCTTTGTATTGTGTCAGGGAAGTCTCTGTTATAGATCAGCCGTGAGATGAAGTCCTTGGTAGCCCTTGCGACTATTGAAGCAGGTCAGGAGGTTTATACTTCTATTTACCTACCTGAACTATGAAAATTGTTGACTGATTTTGAAGATCTTACACCCCAAGAACTGCCAAATGAACTCCCTCTCATACGCTATATTCAGCATCAAATTGATCTGGTACTTGCGTCACTTTACCCAATTTATTACATTATAAACTATGTCCCACTAAGCATCAACAATTATAGAAGATTGTGGAAGAATTATAACAGAAAAAACTAATACAACCTAGCCGGAGCTCCTGTGCAGTACTTGCCATATTAGTCCCGAAGAAGGATGGGCTGTGGAGAATGTGTGTGGACAGGCGTGCAATCAACAAGATCAATACGAAATATCGATTTCCCATCCCTAGGCTGGAAGATATGGTAGATTACTTGTCTGGAGCCAAGATTTTCTCAAAATTAGACTTGCGTAGTAGTGGCTACCATCAAATCAGAATCCACCCTAGAGATGAATGGACGACGACCTTCAAGACGCTTACGGCTTATATGAATGGTGGGTGATGTCGTTCGGATTGTGCAATGCTCCCTCTAAAGGTCAAAAATTGTAGTTATGAGTTTGCTACCACTGCAATCCATTTTCTGGGTTTTATTGTCTCGACAGATGGAGTTAGTGTGGATCCACGCAAAATTGCAGCTGTCCAGGAGTGGCCGCAGCCTCGTTCCATCACTGATATTCAAAGTTTTCACAGTTTAGCCAATTTCTATCATCGATTCGTGCTTGGTTTCAGTATGATTATGGCCCCATTGGCGGATTGTCTTAAGAAGAGCACCTTCAGTTGGAACGAAGAACATCAACGTAGTTTTGAGACCATCAAAGCGGCATTAGTTTCAGCTGCTATTCTAACAACGTTAGACTTCACTAAGCCGTTTAATGCTGACACTGATGCTTCAGCAGTGGGAATTGAAGCAGTGCTCTCTTGGGAAAACCGACTAATTGAGTTTTACAGTGAGAAGTTGAGTCTGGCAAGACAGAAGTGGTCGGTGTATGAGCAAGAGTTATACACAATTAATCGGGCCCTCAAATAGTGGGAGCATTATTTGCTTCACCAAGATTTTGTACTATGCAGTGATCATTAAACTGTCCAATTTATTAACACTCAGAAGCACATTAACCAGATGCATATTAGATGGGTGATTTTCCTACAAAATTTCAGCTGTCCTTAAGCACAAATCCGAAGTTCAAAATAGGGTGGTTGATGCGTTGAGCAGACGATCCACCCTCATTGTTAAACTTCAAACCGAAATTACAGGGTTGGAATCCTTGAAAGAGTTATAAATTGATGCAGATTTTCTATTACCATGGGAAAACTATTAGGTGGGGAGATCGTATAAAGACTACACACTACGCCATGGATTCTTATTTAAAGGCAATGCTCTTTGCATGCCCCTGTCATTCGTGCGGCAACAATTGATCAAGGAGATGCATGCTGGAGGTTTGTCAGCACATTTCAGCAGAGAAAAAACCTCAATCCATCTACAAGAGCGCTTCTGCTGGCCACACTTACGAAGGGATGTTATCAGATTTGTTGAGAGGTGTCCAATATGTCAAGTTTACAAGGGAAGCAATCAAAACACTAGATTATACACCCCATTACCAGTGACATTATCAATCTGGGAAGACTTAAGTATGGATTTCATTTTAGGACTCCCACACACAAAAAAAGGAGTTGATTCTATTATGGTAGTAGTTGACAACTTCTCGAAAATGGCTCACTTCACAGCCTGTAAGAAAACTTGTGATGCACTGGGAGTTGTCAAATTATTGTTTAGAGAGATTTTTCGCCTTCATGTCCTGCTTCGCAGCATTACCTCAGATCGTGACGTCAAGTTTATCAGCCACTTCTGGAGAGAGCTTTTGAAATAGTTGCAGACAAAAATCAAGTTAAGCTCCGCATACCACCTCCAAATTGACGGCCAAACGGAGGTGCTAAACCGTGCCCTTGGAAGCATGTTGCAATGCTTAGTGCAAGATCACCCGAAAGGCCGAAACAATGTGATCATGTACTCAACCATGAGGAGTTTGCCTATAATTCGATGACAAACCGATATACTGGTATGTGCCCCTTTCAAATTGTCTACACTAAACCACCTAACCATGTTGTGGGTATAGTTGTGTTGCCGAAGTGCCACAATTCAACTGCCCATAAACTGGCCGAAAACTTTAAATGCACTATGGACAAAGTTCGCAAGAAGCTGGAACAGTCCAATGTAGCATACAAGTCAAAGGCAGATGCACATCGCCGATCCAAAGTCTTTCATCTAGGCGAACTAGTTATGGTGCGATTGAGAAAGGAATGATTTCCTTCATGCACTTACTCCAAGCTAAGCCCACGGAAGATCAGATCTATTGTTATCAAGCAATGGGTGAACGACAACGCCTACACAGTCGAATTACCTTCAGACATACTCCATCCACATTTAGTGTGGCAGACATTTTAGCTTACCATCTAGCTGATTCAACACCTACACGCATCAGTTCGTCGAACACGAACTCTTCTGAAGCAAGGGATACCAAACTGCTGTGTAAGCAATGGAACAAGAAGAACAGAGTAGAAGAAGTAACATTAAAAAGAGTTTATTTCTATTAATATGTATGTCCTTCTAGTTCCAATCTGCTGTATGTATAAACTTATTCTTCATACCAATTTCTGAAAACAGTAAAACATAAATGAAAATATATCATGTGCTTTTTACTATAGTTAGTTATGAGAGTAGTGGGGACTAAGTATAGGTGATAAGATGAGCCTGTGGAGCAAGTGCAACAACGTGCGTCCACATCACCTTTCTTCATCAAACTATGCAAATCACGTGTAACATGAGAATGGTTGCCTTTAGCGGCCGCCATTATCGTTGCGCTTTCGGATAGCCAATTGTGTTGTGGAGATCATTTCTGGATAGCTTCTGTCATGAGGGGGCAGTGGATCACGATGAGCAACTCTCATTACATTCAGTTTGCCAAAGAAAATATGAATATCTAAACTTATCAAATTTTTTGTGAACTCCATGGGCGAAATATGACGAGCTATTTGTGACATTCGGTTGCTCTCATTTTGGAGAAAATTTCACCTTCTGCAAAGTCTTTCATTTTCTAAATTCTAAAAAATTTGGTATGGTGAATGCTGAGGAAGACGCCTGATTGAAGCTATAGTTTGAATGGGAAGCTTAAAATGTTTGCTATGAGAGAAGTAAGAACTGGAAGAAGAAATTTTGAGTGCTGCTGAAGGTCGGGAGAGGAATGAAGTGCAGAAAGAAAGATTTGGGGTTGGGTGGCGGTCGCGTAAAGAATAGTTTAGGATTTTATTGTGATGGTTTAAACCGGTACAAAAGTCGATGGTATAAATTACCGCCATAGATCATCTACAATAGGGGTATGAAAATAGCTGCACCAATATGATGCTAAAAGTTTTAATTTTTTAGTAGTGATTGATAGATCTCATCTTCTCATTGCCATCCAGCTCGTTTTCTAAGTTGAAGAAGATTGATTCTAAAGCTCCAATCTAAATTTTGCTCAATTCCTTTGTTGTGAACATCTTCATGCTTTTTTCTTCTCTTAAAAGAGTTTAGTTTCATCTTCTTATTCTTCAAAATCATTTAATTTTTTTCACTTGTTACAAAATATATATGAATTATTATTATTTTTTAACTAAAATGTTACTTTAAAAAAGTCTTGGCAAGACGAAAGTTTAATCTTCCCCTTCAAAATTCTCCCCAAGAGTGTTCAAAATAACATGAAATGCATTTCATTAAGGCTTCATTTGGGATAGCTATTTTATTGCTTTTTAAAAGAGCTTTTTAGTACAAAAAAAATTTAATTCAAAAAAATTTTATAGTTAAAAAGTTGATTTAAAAAATAGGAAGAAAAAATCTAAATAAATGAATATATAATTTGAAAATATAATAACAATATTACCATAGTGGGAGCTGGTTCTAAGGCAATCCTAGCCCTAGTGATGACACCAAATTGGCCTAATCCTCCAAGAACACCATGAAATAAGTCTTGGTTGAGGTCTTCTGAGCATGTTAGCATCTCCCCCTTTCCTACACAACACCAAACCATAATTAATGAATGGTTAATTATCAAATAATGAAGGAAATTGAATGGAGCTATAGGTATCATGAAAGAATTAAATTTAAATTTTTATGTCATTTGTAGGCATCTATCAACAAAATAATGATTAATTGTGCCCTTCATCATGGACTATTGTTGTTTTGTGAGTAATTATTGAGGGATAATATCGATCACTTGATCTCCGCTTCATGAGATTATGATGGGTTTATAGGTTTTGAAATTTGGTAGTTACATGTCTATTTGATTAATTACAACTCAAAATCCAATCAAATTAATATCTAAAGATTTCTAAAATTTAATGCAACAAAACAACATGAAGCCTTTATATCAGCGTGGGTTCAGTTATATGAATCATTCTTCTCTATTTTGTCCTGTTAAAAATGAAATTTTCATTTAAATCTAATAAAGAAATGCCATTTAATAAAGAAATGTCATTTTTAATATTTTCCAACCAAGTCTTTTTAGATCTATCTCTGCCCTTCTTAACTTAAGTCAAATCTAATAAATCTACTTTCCTAATCGGATCATTGGAAGACCTTTTTTAAGTGACCAAACCATCTAAGGTGACTATCTCTAATCTTATATTCCATCAGAGCTACTCCATCCTTTTCACCTATATGCCCATTTCGTATCGTGTCTTTAAGAGTAAAGCCACCCATCCACTTGAGCATCCTCGTCTCTACAACACTTAACTTAATATTGAACCTAATCAATATTTGATTTGAGTTTAATTTGGTCTAATATGCATGGAAGATTTATAACCCTAATAATAATATCAAACTTATAGTTCAGCATTTTAAAATATTAGAATATTAAAAAAAATTATAATATGTAATAACTTCGAAGGTTTTTTTGACCTTCCCATGAGTTACCCTAATTAATATTCAATCATAAGAGTTTTAGTGGCATATCCTAATTAGATCTAATTAACTCTAGGTTAATTAGTGGTTTGACATGGTTAGCCCAATAAAACCCTAAGCCACTAATGCATGGATTTTTATACTTGGAGATTTAGTGTGGAACTAAGATTAACTTGGTTAACCCTCTAAGTAGGCTAATCTAGTTGGCCCTAGATGATTAATACTCAATTTAATGGATGACAAATTATATGCCTTAGACATTCTTGGATATTACAAAGCTTTGTAATGGTTTCATAAATAAGGAGTCTTTGGAAAAGAAAACATAAATAAGATTATTTGTTTTTAGCATTGTATCATTGGGAAACATATTAGGGTAAAATTTAGTGCATGTTAGCATAATACCAAAAGGGTAATGGATAACATACATTTTAAAATATGGACCTATTACTATTCTAACATTTGATTTTATGTAATTTTTTTAAAAAAATTTGGGCATATATGTTGAAACATAAAATGTGGTTTTCAACATAACTAATGAAAAGATTTATCTAACAATCATATAGGGAAGAAAATTAAGAGGTTAAAAAGAATATGTTAGAATATCTAGATAATAATTTGAGTAATTTCAAAAAGATAATGGGATTACATAATATTAGATAGATTAATTCTATAATTAAATGGAATTGCTAAAATGACGAATTGAACTTTATTAGAGAAAGTTAAGTATATGTTGTCATTTGAAAAGAAAAAAAGATTATGGTTTCATTTGGGACGGTTTTAGACCATTATTTTTTTCCGCTTTCAATAAATTTTTATACTAAAATGTAGCAATGCTCCCCGATCAATTTCAGGATCCCTTTGAACAAATAACAATCAATTCTTTCTCCAAACTCCACATTTTCATGCATTTTGTGAGTACCAAGCAATGCTCCCCAAACTAAAGCATCAAGCTGTATTGGCATCCTCACTATGATTCTGATTCCATCCATATTCACCTCCATGCTAATCTCCTGTCTACCCTCTTGAAGAAAAGTTCTCATGTTGTGAAAGAACTTTTGATCTTGCTCACGTGCTTCTCCAAGCTGAAACACAGATCTTATCTTCTGAAATCCCAGCTCTAGCTTTGAAAGGTAGCTTTTGAAGACAAATTTATCTGCTAGCTCTCCAGGTTCATGCACCACATGTGAGACCTCGTTCCTTTGCTGTAGCTGCTGGGAAAAGTGATTTTTCCCCAGGATCGGCTGGGACGATGGTGAGATCGTCCAGGCCGATCAATGCATCGAAAACAGCTGATTTCTGGAATGTTCTCTGGAGTGATTTCTGGACTGGATCGTCCAGGATGATTTTGGATCGTCTTGGGACGATCAGATACGACAAGAATCCCGAGAGCATCGTCTTGAGAAATCGTCCAGGGCCGATTGGTTTTTGTTTTGATCGGCCAGGACGATGTGGCGATCGGCCGGGCCGATCAGACTAATGTTATAAGAAAATCAGCTCGTTTTGAGGAGAGAGAAAATCATTTTTAAAATATCAGATATTTTGAAGAGAGAGAAAGAGAGGAAAAGCAAAGGAAGAAGTCCGATTTCGGGGCCCGCGGAGCGATTTTCGTCGTTCGTTGCTGTTGGATATTTTGTTTGTCTCGCTGTAAGGACTCCGAACCCTACTTCTGTTTTCGAAGATTTTGAGGTTTTGTAAAATGGTGCTCAGATTTGTGTTTTTGTAAGTGATTTTTGTACCCGGTTTGGTACTGACAAAGATTTCACCGCATAACTTTTGGTATGTTGTAGATGTTTTGGTTCTGCGGAGTTTTATTTTGATTGCAATTTATTATGATGTCTGAATTGGTTTGAGCAGTAGAAGAATAGTCTTATAATGTTGCTGTGCACGTTCTGTATTAATTTGGTGAATTGTAATTTTTTGAGATTTCTGTGTAAATTCTGTAGACTGCCGTTATTCTGCCCGATTTTCGTACGATTTCTGATTTTCCCGAAATTGATAGATTGAATTGATATGCGTATGACTATTGATATGATTGTTCTAGATTTCTTTATTATTGCTTATTGCATCGATTATTGCATTGATTGATTGTTACTGAAAGACAAGTGGGAACCTGGTTGAACGTTGGTTGAAGATAGACTTGACCTGTACAGGATGGTGGGCCGACGGGCTTTCCTTTAAACCATTGATCATTGATATAACGATTGGGAGTTATAAGGAGTTTTATATGCCGACGGGCGGCCGACGGGCAAAAGAGTGACGACTCTTCTTGATAGAACCAACGTGCGGATATCTACAACAGCAATACGGATTCTACAACAGCAACATAGCCAGCGTTTGTGCTTGTCTAGTAAGACCATTGAATGAAATAATTTCAGGTGCAGGGCCTCCAGCTTGAAGATCTTTCTGCCGAGTTCTGTAGCTTTTTCTTTTGTAGCCTTGGTAGGCTTTCTTTTGTAGCCTGTACGGCTAGTGTAGATTTCTCTTTTGGCTGTACTCTGACTGTTGTACTATATGTGAATTATAGTATCCGCTGTTGTTTCTTTTCTGTAATGTAATTATCTCTGGCTCTGGATATATGTATGTATGGATTGATATGAACAACAGATGAGAAAACCGATAGAAAGAAAAGAAGAAATAAAAAAAAAAGAAAAAAGAGGCAATAGAACGATCAGATGAATCCTTTCGCTACACGGATCTTGGGGTCGTGACAAGTGGTATCAGAGCCAGGTTAGTGAAAAGGATTTGATTATATCCAGAGTTGATGATTGCATTATTTGATTTGTTTTGTTATACGTATTTGATTTCCGCGATTTTGATTCGAATGATTTGTATTGATCAGGCCAATGAATCCGAAATGAAAGAAAGTTGAGTCTGCTACTGATCTCCCACTCACATCTGCAAATATGGATTGATATGAACAACAGATGAGGAAACCGATAGAAAGAAAAGAAGAAAAAAAAAAAAAGAGGCAATAGAACGATCAGATGAATCCTTTCGCTACACGGATCTTGGGGTCGTGACACCACAAACACATCATTTTACCAACTTAAGATTAACCTAGTGGAATCATTTTGCAGAGCTAAATGAATAATGGCAACTTGAGGCAAACTTTGTAGCTTCTCATTTAAAGAAAGGATATTAATGGAAGGCTGTAGTGATAGTGGAGATGTAGGGGATGTGACCTTCCCGAGAGGATGACCATCCAAACTAAGCACTGGCACCAGATCAATACGGCTCATTCTTTAAGGACCAACAACTGGACTGTTCGTAAGAGATAGCTTAATGCGGTTGCAAACACAAAATGTCTCTAGTGCTCGAGCATGGTTAACAGATTTTCCAGAGTCGAGATTGTTTGATGACTCGATAAGCAGGATTATCCACCTCCACCCCAATGAAGGGCTGTCATCATCAAGCACTGTATCTGCATAGATACTCTTCAATTTCCCAGCCAACTTGTCCTCATTTGCATTTCTTCAAAGTAGGTGTTCAAGCAGACTCTCAAAAGCTAGACAATCGATTAGAGCATCAGGCCACAAAAGCTGTGCTTCTCTTATAGTAAAAATTGTAGGATTATTTGTCAGAAGAGCTCCATATTGCCATTGATTTAGATAATCTGACAAGTCATCAAAATAATTAGGAGCAGCAGAACATGCCCTTATTGCTTCCCATATCCGCTTCTTGCAGCTCCCCATGAAGGGACAATGATCACCATATTGACTAACAAGACTCGCTGTTATACCACCAGAGGCAGTAATTTCAACCAACCCTGAGGACAACTCTAGGGTACCAACAGGATAAACGAAGTCATCTATGGTGGGTAACAGAGTGCGAGTAATCCATCTCAACATAGGTGATGATGATGCATCCGAGAATCTACCAATACTGGGTACATAGCCATAACCACATTCATCTATAACGCATGTAATGTAAGAACGATAACGGCAAACAGGACAAGAGTAGACAATGTATCCACATCGTTCATCACCGGAAGGGGCAACACCTCCAACCGTTGATTTGCATGGGGTGGCGTTGGCGATTTCACCGAATAGCTTATCCATCTCCGAGTTATAAAAAAATTGATACAAATTTTAGCATTGGATCTTGGTCGAGTATTGAACGAGTGCCGACATGCTCAATTGGTTCGACGTGTGGAAGGATCTGATCGGAGGTGGATTCGGTGTCGTCGGAGTCGGAATAGGCGGCTACGCTAGACTTTAGGCATGCGGGCGGATTTGATTGGGAAATCTGGGCGGATGCGGGTGGGCGGGGGAAGGAGAATGCGGGAGCGTGGTCTCTGAAAATCGGATTGATGAACTGGACCAGGGTTTGAGGAGCAAATCCATCATCCATGTTCACATCGTCGGATGTTGCCGGGTCGGGAAGTGAATTTAGGGTTTGGGTTGTGGAAGGCGTCGGTCACAAGTGCATAGAGCACAATGAGTGGGTTTGGTCCTGTCTCATGGAGCACGGACAGGTCTGACTGTCATTCGCGAGATGAAATAGCGGCAAGACTGGAATCAGGTCGTGAGAGATCGGGCTCGACGCCAAGAGCTAGACCACGAGAGCAGAATAGGAGCGGGGGCGGGAGCTCTGTGTGTGCGGGCGGCAATGTCGGA